GGGAAAAAAAAATAATGCATGGCCGCTTAGAACTTCCGTAGGATTCTGTATAAAAGGACATACCGGTTTTGTCTGCATGAAGGTTATTATAGTTTTGTATTTTTTTATTCATTTTATTTTAATATTTTCAAATTTGCAATAAAATTTTCGTTTTTTATTAGTTTCAATAATAATTTTGTTAGTTTTAGTTTAGTTTTTATTTTGTGAACACATTTCTATTTCGTTTTTATAAAGTTTAGTTTCAGTTTTAGTAATTGAAGTTTAGCAGAATTAACAGATTACTTCCAGTGTGCAAGAACAAAGAAAGACTTAATTTAACCTTACTGACGCAAACATCTAGCGACGCAAAATTAAATCATGCTATGATTGATTAGATGGTAAAAGTATACAAATATATGCCAATATGAAGCAGTTGAGCCTTTTTACTCCATAAATCTACACAAGTTGCGCTTACATTATCATATTTAAAAGCACTACACTGAATGATAAATGTGTGTTGTGATATTTAATTTGAAAGTAAATGTAATTTGGTTATATCAGATGTCTTTTATCTTATTTAACCATAATCACGATACTATAACTGCTGTGCCTTCAGGGTCGGCACCAGAGCGCACAAAGTGAGGGGGCAGGCACAAATTTTTTTTGGGGGGGGGGCTGCTTTGAAAAAAAAAAAAATTCTGAAAGTAACACAACACAAACATGAAACTTGTAAATAAAATAATCTTATATATAGCCTATGTACAATTTAATAACATATAGCCTAGTTTGATATATGAATTGGGTGTTCGTCAAAGATTGCATGCGGTCGGAGATTCCCGTGTTTACAGCTCCGTAAAATAACCTACTGGAAGCTCTGTAGTTTTGCTGTATAGGCCTATAGATAAAAATATTATACATAACACAACATTTAGAGTTACTTCCATTTCTGAAAAAAAGAATGTAGGCCTAGTAATTGATGTTATAAATACACAAGCCTGATTTTTGTTTTAATTATCCATCGTACATAAAAAAACAACAAAAAACATTTGCAATCAAGACTGAAAAAAGCCAGAAGTGAATGTAAAGCAGATTTGGCCCAGACTCTGTTGCTATCTGTGAAGCCAAGCATAAGAATAGCCTACTAATGAAAATTTGTTAACCCACAGTAACACATTTTAACAGATTAATCACATATTTTCGTTTGCTGCATGCTTTTAAAAACACAATAACATTTTTTTTTTTTGAGGAAAAAAAAAAAAGATGCGTCTCGTATAAGTTGCATTTTCAGAAATAATAACGTCAGGCCTAATAATGTTATAATGTACCAACATTTTGAACACTATAGGATAATTTAGTTCCCCTAACTTTATAACAAATCATTTAAATTTAACCGTATCAGAGAACAGAATAAGAATTTAAAAATATATAATTCTAATGGATAAATATAATTGCAGTATATAATAATAAATGCTTAGCAATAAACAGGCGCCGGCGCGATCAAACAGCTGAAACATAAAATAGACTACTCCGTAATTTTTGATCATACAGTAAAGGCATAATTCGAAAGTGCAAAGTGTTAGCAGTTTGAAAATTCAAGAAAAATAGCAAAGTTAATAAGAATTCTTTCTAAATGCAGCACGGTTCTTATTTCGCTCTGCATAACCTGAACGAAAAAAAAAAGTTTTTGCTAAGAACGAAATGAAAACATTTAGCTAACAGCTTGGGAAACCTTCCCAGGGCAATACCTTGCCTCACCGACTAAAATCAGGGCGCCCACTACGGAGACGGCACCAGAGGTGAGGGGGCACAGTGACCGAGGTGGCCGGACCGGATTATTATACAAACGAATCAATAGGCACGGGCGGACTGCGGGTTCGATAGACTATTTAGACTCAATTACATACCTGCTGATAGGCAGCTGCCTACAAACGGTCCCGTGCTTATTCGTGTTCAAGCTCTGCAGTTTGACGACCGTCAAGGATTTCTATTTACAATTTGATTTGCAGCGTTGCGCATTAAAGCCATTCGCGCTGCAGCTGAAGTGAATGACAGCTTAGGGAGCACTCTTTGCTCGCTTTCTGTAGTCTATATATAATTTAATTTCATTTTATTATTTATTTTATATAATTTTATTTTTAATGCTTCTATAAAGGACCAACAGCCATGACATGTATAGCCTACTGCAGATTTTAAGGAGAGACAATCACATTTAACAGTAAAGGCATATAACAAAGAGTGAAAAATTTAAGGGGGTCTGAATACTTTCCGTACCCACTGTATATCTCTTAGGGATGCACCGAAATGAAAATTCTGAGCCGAAACCGAAAATTCTGGATGCACTTGGCCGAAAACTGAAACCGAAAAGGCTTTGTAAAGATTATTTATTTTATTAAATAATATACTGAAATTTTGTAAGACTTTTTAATTAAAATTTTATTTTATAATTTTTAAATAATTATTTTCAATTAAAAAAAAAACGCAAGCCAATAAAATAACCACACTTTTACTGAAAGTGACATAATAAAACTGGACAGAATTTATATTAATATTGGTAACACTTTACAAATAAGGTTCATTAGTTAACATTAGCTAACTACTTTAGTTAACATGAACTAAGAATAAACAATACTTCTTCAGCATTTATTAATCTTAAGTAATGTTAATTTCAGCATTTACCAATGCATTATTAAAATTAACATTTGTGCTTGTTAACAGTTAATGCACTCTGAATTAACATGAAGTAACAGTGAACTACTAAAATTAACATTAAGAAAGATTAATAAATCTTGTAATAAATGTATTGTTCATTGTTCGTTCATTAACTAATGGAACCTTGTTGTAAAGTGTTACCTTAATATTAAATATCAATATATTATTTTTATTCACTTCTATGTAACAGATTCAGATATAAGTTGTGTTTTGATTGTTTTTTGGAATAATTATCCAAATGTATAGTCCTATAAGAGCATGTGAGCAGAGCATAGCTTCACTGAAAGCATAATTTTACCAGCGTTGCCCAGAACAGCTGAACTACAGCATGTTACAGCACAGTAGCGCTACTGCAAACAGGAACAACATTTCTCATTCTCTTTTGTCTAACACCCTGATGAAGACCTGCTTGGGCTGATACGCATTGGAGTTTTTATTTATTTATTTATTTATTTATATATATATATATATATGTAGCCCTGTCTTATAATTAAAGGCTTTTTACTTTGCTCGCTATGTGAGTGCCTGGATGTGGATTTTTCAGTTTTTGTTCTTTTGGGGATTTTCTTGCAATGGGATCCACTTTTGTTTATAGCCTGGCAGTTCACAAGATGTAGGCAATACAGAAAAGATGCGCGTTCTCATCTTTGTTTGTGCTGCTTATCTATTTTTCTTCAAAGCACTGACTAATGTTGGTTTGATTACTTGTGTTACATGAGAAAATTATTTATTTTGCCTACCTGATGTAATTAAATTAAATGTGAGTGTGGTTTGGGTTGCGGTCTTTATGTCAAACAGAATTAAATTAGTGCTGCTGTCAGATAACGGGTCGAGTGTTCTCTTAAGTAGGCTACTGCTGGTGCGAGTTTACCAAACAGGACCCGTGCTGGACTCTGCTTTAAACTGCTTTGCGTCTCTCTGTCAGATAACCTCACGTGCATGATGCGCCATTGACAGATTCACTACAGAACCTTTAATGTTCTCATATCACAGGACTGTATAACACAATTATATGTCACATCTGAATGGATCAAGTGACTTGTGCTGTTTATCATTTTACATCGTGGCGGAAGCGCAGCGCATGTTCATCAGCGCCGTATGGGTGACAGATTCCGCTCTGCTGTTAAACGTGGCTGGCGGATGATCGGGTATGGAGCTTTGCTTTTTACAGTTTCGCAAGAGCTGTAATTTAAAAACAGCGCCTAATATGGGGGAGGTCTCCCTCGCTTCGGCGATCGGCCCACTACTCAACCAGCCCACCGGGAATGTCCCGGTGCTCCCGATTGCCAGTACATCCCTGCGCACATCAGATTAGATTAGATTAACGTCTGTATGTATATAAACGTCTTGCCTTATCATAAATCTTTACTATTATTATTATTATAATTATTCATGATAGAGATCGAGCTTTTTTTTTTATTAGTAATACATCATAATAGGCTATAGCTACATCGTACATTTTTAGCTTTATCAATCAGGCATAATATTAATCAGAAATATGTTGTTTTGTAGTTCAGATCATGCATGTGGAACTGAATCTTGTCTTTAATCCTCTTCTGTTGTATTTGATGAAGCTCTGCTCTTCTGAGGTGTAAATGAGCTCAGAGTCTCACTGATGAATGTAGGAGAAACTCATTTCTGACTGTGATCTGACTGAGAGGAGACACAAGAGTATCAAGTCTTCATCTTCTCCATTAGATGTATTTATCCAAACTTTCAATAGCTTCATGTTTTGAGTATGTTTTCCATTCATCTGGTATTTTACCACAACCCATGAAGGTTTTATTGTAGTATGTTTCCAGATATTTCTGGAATCGACACACAAACCACTTCCAGTAGGGCAGTTCAGAGAGATCAGGGGTGATACTCCACTTCTCATAAATTCCTCCTGCTCTTCTGTATTCTCTCCAGGGGACTGACTTTTTTGAGTCACTGGGAAGAAAAGATTGATTACTTGTTACTGCTGATGTGCAGATGCTAATTGACAAATTTTCTGTCCCTCTGTAAAACCACCCATTCAGTCCAATATTACGATGGAAAGCAACACTGTGATCTCCAGGATGGTTTTCTATGGTGTTGGTGCAGGTGGCTCCACAAAACGGACACTGAACCCAACAGCACTGACAGAAGTGATCAATCAGAAGCTCTTCTGGCCTGAATTTATAGTCCAGTTTTTCATCAAATGACTTTGTGTTGAATCTACTGCTGATATCAGACATTATAGCAGGAAGTTCTTTTTTTATCACATTTTCCATGAGGTTGAAATCTTTAACACCATCATGTTTGACTCCACTGAGGTCTTTTTCAGAGAAGATCAGCACATCTGAGAGCTGCTGTGTGAAACTCTTCAACCACAAACCAACATCTCCTCTGCTCTCTTGAACAAGTTCAGTAGATTCATGTGCTGCTTTCATGATCTTCTGCTGCAGGAGTTTAATATTCTCCTTCATCTTGGGCAAAACACTGACACTGAACTTATCAGTGATGTACTGACTGACTTCATCTCTTATGAAATCCTTGAAATGATCTCTGGGATGATTAATGTAATACAAGTAGGCAGAAAAATTCTCATTTTCTGACAGAAATGTCAGGATGTGTTTCTCCAGATTTGATCTGTTTCCATTCAGTGATTCACAGTTTGATTTAATTTCATCTGTCAGATCTTTGGCAGTCTTCTTGTAGATGCTCTGCTCAATGGGCTCTTTGAGTTTCTGACAGATGATCTCACCAAAAATGGCAGCTGAAGCAGCTCCATGACAGTATTTCTGGAAAATACTATAGTACTCTTCTCTCTTCTTCTCAACATATATTTCAGGATCATTGGCGTCTCTGAACAGTCTGTGTTGGTCAGTGATCATTTTGTTTGCTCTCTTACAGATGGAAAGAACCAAATCCATGAAGAATTCATTCGTGAACACATATTTCACTTGTCCTTTCTGATGTTCTGTTACTCTTGTCTTGACATAGTCTATGAGTTGTGTAAGGCAGCTTTTATTGTAGCCCATCTTTGAAATGTTAAATGACTGAATCATGTTGTCTGTCTGCTGAATAACATCTGTGACTAATGATCTTATTTGGGCTTCATGCTCTGGAGACAGAGTTCGAATAAATCCAAATGTTTCTTTAGCTGTTTTATAAGCATTCTTTACAGCCCCTTTAAGCCCACTTTTTGTGGACTTTTTGAAAATTACATATTCAGAATAACTCAGCACAGTAAAAATATCCCTGCTCTCCCGCCCTTGGTCTACAGGGAGAAAACGCTCATAGATGTCACTGAGGATTTCTCTCACATCTCTCATAATGTCAATGTATCTGATTGCAGGAGTGTCTTTGATGATCTTCTTCACACTTTGTTCCCAAAACAAATCAAAATCTTTCTTCACTGTGTCTTCATCATTTGCTTTGTCTTTGAATTTTAAGGCAAGTTCTTTGCTCTTTTCAAAGAGAGTGTTTTCATGATGTGTCCTCTGAGCATCAATCTTTTTCTTCAGGTCTCGCTGCTGCAGAATCTCATTTAATTTCCTCTTTGTTTCTCTCACAACGTTTTCCTGAAGTTCTTTGATTTTGATTTCAAATAATGTTTTCCACTGAATCAGTATATATTCATCCGTGTCTTTCTCAAAGAATGCTGACATTGATTTATTCACTTCTTCACTTGTCTCTTTCAGTTCTCTTTGAAGATCAGTTTCCTCAACCTCATGAATTGTCTCATTTTCTATTTTGTTGTGTAGTTTGTTCTCAGTTTCCATCATAGCTCTAAGAACACTCCAGGACCACTTCCTGTATTCGGTCTCTAATTTTCTATAAGCTGAAATCTCCAGAGAATTTCTGAAGCTAAAGACGAATCGTTCATTCAGTAAAGCCTCCCAGAGATCTTTAACACGATCCTTTAAGTCTTTCAGCATCATTCTATGTGATTTTGATGCATGAATTTTTATAGTTTCCTTTAGTTCTTGAATATTCTCACAGTAGTTTGGGTTTGGTGGTGCCATGGGTGGGTTTCCTTCCCAGAGATGAACAAAATACTTAACATCTTTCTGAACATCAAATCTAATGATATCACTGAAACTTTCTGCATCAGACTCTTCCTCCTTAGCAGCAAGTTTTGTCATTTCATCCAGAGTCTCCTGCAGTCGTCTCCTTCCCTCCATGTTTTTCTCTCCAGCTGTAACTTCTGAAACGTTCTGATGCACAAACACACAGCTGGAATTCAGTCTGATCTTCTTCATCCTCAGGAAGGCCTGAACAACAATCTGAAGAATGTCCTGCATCTCAGATGGGTTTTCTCCAAAGATGTTGATCAAGGTCAGATTTGCAAGACCAACAACAAATGTGGCCAATTCATTGTCATGATGTCTTGTTGATCTTCCAGACATTTCTTGATCTCGGAGACCCTCAGTATCAACAACCAGAATATAGTCAAAGTTCATCTGTGTTTTCATCTCGTCTGACACTCTGAGCAGCTGCATGAAAGCTCCTCTGGTGCACCTGCCAGCACTGACGGCAAACTGAAGTCCAAACATGGCATTCAGCATGGTGGATTTCCCAGAGCTCCGAATCCCTAAAACTGACAGCACAAAGACTCTCTGGTCTCCCAGTTTCTGGATGAGTTGATCTAGAACAGCAGAGATCCAGATCCCAGGAACATGAGCAGCGTCTCCATCCATCAACTCCAGTGGAAATCCAGAGATCATCATCTCTGCTGCAAGACTCGGGAGAGAAGAGAAGTGAAACTGCAAGTCTTCCTTGTTCTTCTTGACAGATGAACATGATTCGTAAATCTGGCCAATCTCCCTCATGACGTGCTCCAAACCAAAGGCTGCAGCTTGAAGTTCCTCAGATATTCTCTCAAATTCAGTCTGTTCAGCTTTGAGTTGTTCAGGTTTATCATGATTCCCCTTCAGTTTTAGGACTGTTGACCATTTTTCATCATATTTGTGATGTAGAGCAGAAAGATCAGCTGATGTATGTTCATCCAGGAGGATTCTGAGCCATTTGAGGAAAAATGTCTTGTTTGTGGTATCTGAGTTCATTTCTCTAATAAAGAGCTTCATAAACCTGCTGACATCAGATTTATGCTGTTGCTCACGGATTTTCTTCATTTCTGTGTGTTTCCTACTGAAGTCCATTTCTGTCTCATCTGCTCGAGGTCGATGTAGTTCTTTGTTCATCTGACTCCACTGATGCCACAGTTTCCCCTGATGAGGCAGAAATGATTCCTTGATTTCTGTCAGATCTTTCTTCTCCAATAAACTCATCATCTGCTGTGCTGCTTCTCTTCCTCTCCTGCAGTCATCATCATCTTCCTCATCTACTCTGATATCTGTGTGTTTGGACACATCTTCAAGTCTGAAAGTGGAAGATGATCCCAAGAGACACTCATTTATTACTCGTCGGAGTTCTTCAGATACATCTGACTGATTTCTGCCTTTCAAACCAATTTTGTATCTTCTTTTTTTCATCTCGGTTACAGCAGATTCATCCTTAGTAAAAAGACAAATGAGTGGCTTTCTGTTCCTGTACAGGTTTTGGATCTTTTCTGCATGTCTGTCATTCCTGTCCAGTCGTGGTAGAATAATAACATTTACTGAGGCCTTTTCAGTGAGGATCTGCAGCTGTTTCTCATGTTCTCCTGCATCACCGTGTAGATTACAGAAAGCAACACAGTCAGTGAATTTATCTGTGTTTTTCCCAGAGGGGCAGAACCAGGCGATCTCCACCACTCCATCCATCAGGACTCTGGTTCTGCTGCTGCCTGGGCAGTTCCTGTGGAAGAACGTGTTGTGTTTCTCATTGATCAGACTGTTCATCAGCTGAGACTTAGATGAAGACACGGAGCCAAACCTGAAAAAAAACACCACTGGAGTTTGTGCCTTGTAGATCGGATGGGTTTGACTGATGATCTCATTGTTGGTGTTTCTCATCTTCCAGCTCTTGTTGATTTGTCTGAATGTCCAGAGAGGAAACTCAATCTGCTGTGTGAATGGATCAGGAACAAGCAGAGGCAGAGCGTATTGACACTGGGACAGTTTAGTGACCATCAGCTGCTTCAGGAAACCATCCGCACAATGAAACACGACCATCTGAACATCCATTGGGTGGATTTGCTCAGATTGACTTGTTCCTGTTTTTGACAAAGAGATGTTAGCAACATCATCAAAAATATCACTCTCATCTTCAGATGAGTCATTGTCTCTTTGATGAGTTTGAGACTGTTCGTTGGTTTCTATAGTTTTAATGTTTCTTGCTCTATAGTTCATCATCAGCAGTTTTTGTATGAAAGTCTGAATCATCTCCTCTTCAGCACAAGACTCATAGGATTGTAATGAAGTTATCTGAAGAACATCTGCAGCTCTCAGTTTATCAAGATGGAGTTTGTGAAATAAGTTATTCATTTTCTTGTCTTGTTGTAGGTGTTGATTTGGACTGACTGCTGCTGTTCCAATGTCCTTTCCCCCCTGTTTAAAAAAAATAAGAAGAATTTATAAACATTTATAAATTGTAAGGCATCTGCCGTCTTTAGAAATGTGGTTCAGTAAACTTCAGTAAACTCTTTGTAAGCTGTGAACTCAACTTTGACTCCTCGTTCCTATTGTGTAAATTGGTCTCTTTACTGGGTCAAGCTGTGATCCCTAACAGTATTTCATGCATTATTCTGATTCTTATTCATAAAGAGCAAAGACGCTAACTTAAGGAAGATTGTATTTGTATTTATTATTTATAAAGCACTTTTCAGGCTACACAATAACTCCAAAGTTTTGCGATTGTAGCTCAGTGTAGCTTTGTTTTTCTGTTGGATTCTCTTACTATCACTCTCTATTGTTTAAACTGCTAAAATATAGCTTAATTATCACCATACTTTGGATATTATCTAACAAACTAATTTGACGTCATTTGCTTTTTAATCTAAACCACTAGTACAACGTATTAGCTTTCCGTTAGCCTGTTAGGTTGTCATTCGCGCCTATACCACTTCTTTTCTCTCTCACTCTGTTTTTCACGAGTTCATCAAACAACTGTGGTAAGTCGGAATCATTCAACAATCCCGGTGAGTACCCTGATAACACACGTACATCACAGAGTCATCTATTTGACGTCTACAAAATGTATTTTTTAGAGTGTTTGCTCATCTGCAATACGTCTATAGGACATTTCCTATCAAATGTCAAATAGACGTTTAGAAGATGCCTTTAAGATGCTTATGATTTAGAATGAATGTAAAATAAATTCATAAAATATATATAAATATAACTTTTAACTATTTCACACCTCACACGCGAAGCCCGTGAAAGCACCGGAAGGTATATAAGCTGGGGACTCCGTTCACATCACGTGCACAAACGGACTCTTTTTTGACTGAGTGTACGGTTGACGGGAGAGCTTTCCTGAGGTAAGGTATTTTTTTGTATGCATAAGTATAAAATTGATTGACTGTTTTTAAAACGTACCACATCTAGACCTATTGTTCACATAAACGAGTCTCTATTTTTTATATTCTATGGTCCGCTCTTCAGAATATATATATATGTTCACTTTACAATTATCATTAATATTTTCACACTTAAGCAGTGTTGTTTCACAGGTTGGTCTGAGAGAGAGTACGTGACACTGATGCACACTGACGTGTGAGAGAGTGAGCGAGAGAGACAGAGATTATCTTACTATTAGGAGATGAGAGGGTCTGTATTACTTTCTATTGAAGAAAGCATAGTGGTCAACTTGGATCACGTGTGCCTTAATAACCAATCACATTACAGCCTTGATGTCATTGAATTTCAGTCAGAGTTGTGCGACACTCAGTCGCCATTTACGAATCCCATAGGAATGAATGGGAAGTGCCGTAAGCTGAATCCCACCGGTTTCAAAAAGTCAGTGACTTCTCTTATAAAACCAAACTTTTTTCGTCGTAAACTCTAAAAATGGTTCAATCCAAAAGTATTTTTTAGTGTAAAACATGTTGAAGATTAGCAGATAGGCTATCGATTCATTAAATGATAACCCGTTTCCTCTAAAAAGCTGTTTATTCTGTGTAGTGAAGCCACTCCTCCATTGACATTGACAAAACGGCCTCTGGTCTCCTTTCTCACATACTGCCAGACCGGAAGCGTTAACTTTCGCCGTTACGCTTTTCCGGCTAATGGTTGCGGGCTTGCCTTCTAGTGGCTTTGAGAGCGAGACAGACTCACAAGCCAGTGTAGCCTAGCCGTATGAGATAATAATAATAATAATAATAATAATACTAATAAGAAGAAGAAGAAGAATAAACATGCTCCAGGATTGTTAGGTTCTGCTCGGGAGCAGCTTATTACACGTAAACATGATTAAATTGTATAATTTTAAGTGAAGGTGATACTTAAAGTCTGTCCCAACCACTGCTACTTTGTTATAAGAGTACCCACATGAACCAGGGACAATAATAATTTAAAATATTAATAATTTAAAAGTTAATTAGAAAATAATATAACGTTATGTAGTCTATAATAATATAGATACAGCCAGTTTTACTCATTGAGAGATTTATTCGTGAGGGAATAATAATGATTAACGCACGGCTCAGACTCCAATAAAATTATAAGGGAATAATTGTTATTTTCTTATAATTTTATTGGAGTCTGAGCCATGCAATAATCTGAACGGTGACAGCTATTATGTCAGTGGCTTGATGCAGTGCAGGAGATGCAGATAACTTAGTAAAAAATGCTTAGAAAATGTTCTTGACTCCTAGGAAACTTTAATTAATGCAGTCACATAACAAATCTTCTTCACAGGTCAAATGAAATGAATTGCTAATTACAACAATGAAATAAAAATACAGAGCATGTACAAATACTAGAAATCGTGAAATAATGGAAATAATTGGGTGATGGTTTAATTATAAACATGGTTATTATCTCTAAGGGGACACCCAACTTAATATATTACATTTATCTGACTCTAACCATGTCATGTCAACAAATGGAAAAGTCAGCCAGCTATTTATTATCATATTAATTATTGTGCTTTTCACCCCAACAGCAGGGGCGCTTTTTACCACAAACACCATACTTTTACATATTCTTCAGTTTTTGAAAAACATTTGTTTAAATCCATACCTTAAATTTTTTTTTTAATAAAAAAAAGAAGATACATATAGATAAAGTAGAATTAAAATAGAATAGAAAGTGCTAGAGTTAGAGGGTCAAATAAAGGTGGAACAGATGTGTTTTTAGTCGTTTCTTGAAGATGGTTAAGGACTCAGCTGCTCGGACTGATTTGGGCAGGTCATTCCACCAGGAGGGAACAGTTAATGAAAAAGTCTGTGATAGTGATTTTGTGCCTCTTTGAGATGGAACAATAATACGCCATTCACTTGCAGAACGCAAGCTTCTAGAGGGCACATAACTCTAAAGTAATGAATTTAGGTAAATGGGTGCAGAGCCAGTGGTGGTTTTGTAGGCAAACATGAATGTCTTGAATTTAATGCGAGCAGCTACTGGTCAGTGCAAATTGATGAACAGAGGTGTGACATGCGTTAATTTCGGCTCATTAAAGATTAATCTTGCAGCGGCATTTTGGATTAATTGTAGAGGTTTGATAGAAGTGGCTGGAAGACCTGCCAAGAGGAGTATTTCAATAGTCCTGTCTGGATAGAACAAGAGCTTGAACAAGGAGTTGTGTTGCATGTTCTGAAAGAAAGGGCCTGATCTTCCTAATGTTGTATAAAGCAAATCTGCAGGACCGGGCAGTTTTAGCAATGTGGTCTGAGAAATTCAGCTTATCATCAATCACAACTCCAAG